TGGCTGTTCTTGCAAAGATTTAAAAAAAAGAAAAAAAGACTCATGCAATCCTATGTAAAATTGTGATTACTAATTGTTGCCCTATTCTACCCTTGGGTGTCATGATTTTACAAACTTGAGTTTTGTACCTATGGTAGGTCAACTTGTGTAACAGAACAGGTCGTATAGATTTTAGACCAATTTTTTTTTTATTTAATATAATCATGGCATTGCAATTCATTGCAATATATGAAATAAAAAAGGAAGCATGTTTTGGTGTTGTTCACTAATTTACGAAAATTAATGAAAACCACCAAAAATCTTTCTTATTTTCAACTTTTAAATTTCAAAATTTTACTACCTAGTATAACATACTATCATAGAATTGATCACTGAAAAGCATGCTCGCGTGCAAGAAAAATTAATTTGTTTTAATGCTGAATATATCCGTCTGTATAATAAAAAATTGTGAAGCTTTGAAGGAGCCAAATCAAAGGAGACTGTGGGTGTATAGACTGAAGTCAAATGCTGATGCAGACAACGCTCCTCTATTTTGATAAATTAAAAATAAATAAAATCATTAGAAGTTTCGGAAACACTTCCTTTCAATTCTTTTTTCAATAAAATACCTTTATTCTTTTCCTACAAGTTATAAATACGTATTTTTTAATAAATGATTTACAAGTTACAAAAAAGAAAATAATAAATACGTTTTTACGTTCCTTCTTTTCAGTTCATATCGTGCTTTACGCCGTTGGCGTATAAACTATAACTTGCAACACTTCAAATTATTTTTTAAAAGAGAAAACGATTTCTCAGATTTATGACAGAAGCGCATGATTTTCAAATATTGCAAAGCAAATTTAAGAATAACCCTCCAAAAACCAACCGGAATGCAAAATAGGAAAAAGTGTTTATTTTGTACATTTCCTGGGGAGAAGGTAATCTACCTTTAAAAGGACTGATAAATGGACTAGTTATGCGGCAATTTTGTGTGATAACAATGGCCAAACAATTTATTTTAAAAAATGTCAGTTGACATTCAACTCGTATTTGTTGACAATATGACTATATCGAGCATGAAATGTGCAAAATGTTGACTTTAAGCAAGTCTGTTGACATCATTGTATCACTGAGTTATTTATCAATAGGTTGCAAGTTTTACGAAATTGACATTATGATAACATGAAGCTCCTAAAGAAGTGGTAGTGAAAATGTTATAAAAGAAAAAGTAATAAATATGTGCTTTTGAAATTTAAAACAAAGAAGTTCGAGAATCTCTCCATCACTTTTACAATTTATGTATAAATCCTCATGCATCCATCATGTTTTATAGTACTCTATAAAAACGGAAAGTTTCGTTAATTTTTGGCATTTTGAGATGTTCCCTCTGGAAACAAGATGGTAGAATTTTGTGTTTCTTACATATAATGTACAATATGGTATTACTCATCAAATATCATAAGTTGAGCAAAACGTATATTGTCAATGTAAGTTATATATAGTATAAAAATAAAGAGTTTCTCTGTGGTAGTTTTCATACAATAAAACCGCTGTCGGCTCCCTTAAACCATTTTTAAAATTATAGTAAAGTTGTTCGCAATATTATATTTTGGCTTTAGTCGTAGGTTTATTTTTTATGATGGGCCAAGAATCAAATCAACTAACGTTTTAGATAGATTGATTGATTGTATATTGTTTAACGTCCCTCTCGAGAATTTTTCACTCATATGGAGACGCCACCACTTGCCGGTGGAGAGTTGCAAATTTTGTCCTATACTCGGCACTCAAGGCCATTGAGCAGGGAGGGATCTTTTTCGGGCCAGCACCTACTGCGACACGGGACCTCGGTTTATACGGTCTAATCCGAAGGACCGGTCTCCACGTCCCACAGTGGGATTCGAACCCTCGACGTAAGGATTGACTCCTTACTTCGCGACTCTAGAATAGATCAACCACTGTGCCACGCGGGCGACCTAAAGTTTTAGAAAAATATTTACAAAATACACGTCTTTTAAAAATCCACTAGAAAAAAAAACCTCATTTAACAAATTTTAACAAAGTGAATGAATTAAGTATTATTACCTTTGAAATAAATAATACACATAACAATATTTGTGCTCAAACGATGTATGTTTTTTTTTTCTTCGAAAACTAGTGGTTCGAATTTGAAGTCACAATTACAAGAAATGTTTATGAAATTCACTTTGTAATAACATATTCTGAATCCAATCTTTGAAATAAACATATATATGTCTCAAAACTACGAGTTGTTCGACAATCACACGGCGGGTGTGACCGGTTTGCAGTGAATGCTCATTCCTCCAGGGCACCTAATCCCACCTCTGATTTTTTTTTAGGTCCGGGTTCGCTCTGCTCCAGTTTTATATTGTTAAATGGACCTTCGAGCTAGAATACTGTTCGTTATCTAGTTAAGGCTTGTTATATAAATTGTATTTTTAGAAGAAATTGGATTTAATTTTACAAGTGGTAATCCAACTAAAATTATACTCAAAGTTCCCTTCTTTCTAAGGAAGAAATTCTTCAAAATCATTTTAGTTTTTAATATTTTTAATATCCAAAACAACTAAAATGAATTTGAATTACCATATCTATACTGGATTCCGAAACTTCATAAAAATCCTTACAAACAAACATACATAGCGGGTTCCTGTAAGTATTCAACCAAGCCTCTTTCTTTATTCCTCACTGACATATTAACGGTAGTGAAGGAGAAACTTCAAGAGTGTTGTGCAACAATATATAAGTGGTGTGAATCAGAGGTGGATACCTAAAAATTCCAAGGAACTTTTGGACAATTTGAAATCACAAGATTTCACCAAAATCAACAGGTTAAATACTTTCGACTTTTCAACTTTATTCACAACCATTCCCCACGAAGAATTTAAGTCCAGGCTTTTTGATGTTATCGACAGCTGCTTTTCAATAAAAAAAACTCGAAAATTTACTTACCTTGTCATCAGTCATTTGCAAAATTATTTTGTTAAAAAAATTCTGATTGTACACACAAGTACTCTGAAGTTGACATCAAAAAGATGCTTGAATTTCTGATTGACAATATCTATGTTGTTTTTGGAGACCAGGTCTTCCAACAATCTATTTAAAAAATCCATGGGTACCAATTGCGCCCTGTTATTGGCAGACCTATTTCTATGTTCATATGAAGCAGAATGTGTCTAAAATATCATACTTGAAAAGTCAGAAAAGAAGAAAACACTAGCTAAGGTCTTCAACTCGACATTTAGATATATTCGTACACAATCATTCCCCCATGAAAAATTTAAGTCCAGGCATTTGATATCATCGACAGCTGCTTTTTCAACTACTTACCTTGTCATTAGTCATTTGCAGAATTATTTTGTTAAAAAACTTTCTGATTGCACACACAAGTACTCTGAAGTAGATTTCAAAAAGATGAGTTTCTGATTAGTAATATCCATGTTGTTTTTGGAGACCAGGTCTTCCAACAATCTATTGGAATTCCCATGGGTGCCGATTGCGCCCCATTATTGGCAGACCTATATTTGTTGTCATATGAAGCAGAATTTGTGCAGAATTTGTGCAAAATGTTATGCAGAAAAGAAGAAACCACTTGCTGTGGCCTTCCGCTTGACATTTTGATATATCGACGACGTATTGTAAATTAACAATGGTAATTTTCATTCTTATCTCGATATGATATATCCTGGTGAGCTTGAGATTAAAAAAAAACCCACAGAGTCTGATACATCTGTTTCATATTTGGATATTTTACTTGAAAAGACGTTAATAGTAATCTAACAACAAAACTCTATGATAAATGTGATTAACTTTTCAACTTCCCTTACTTATGTAGCAATATAACTTCATCACCCGCATACGGAGTTTATATATCTCATTGATTCGATACGCAAGAGCATGCTCTACATACATACAATTTCTAAAAAGGAGGTAAGTTATTGACAAACAAGTTGATGAAAAAAAGAATATCAGCAGGCTCGTTTAAAGTCATCATTTCGTACGTTCGATGGTCGATACAATAACATTGTCAGCAAATACAATTTATCATTGAGTCAAATGCTGACTGACGTTTTTCATACTAATTTTTAGTCCATTATTTACACACTGAATTTACGACGGATTTTCCGTTGTTTCCCGATCATGACAAAAAGCACACGGCGGGTGTGACCGGTCGGCAGGAGATGCCCACTCCTCCATGGCACCTGATCCCACCTCTGACGTTTTGGAAGTCCGTGTTTGCTCTATTCCTATTTTGTATTGTTTAATGGACTTTTGAGCTAAGATACTGTTCGTTATCTCCATAGATTTCATGTCTGCCTTTTTCTCAAAAAAAAAAAAAAATATGTTTGTTTGCCTCAAAAAAATTTCATACAAATTGAGACGCCACCACTTGTCGATGGATTACTGCACACCACTTTGATCCTTGAACAGTGAAGGATATTTTTCTTGTCCAAACCTGCAAGGGTCTCATTTAGAGACGTTTCAAAACTGCGATGTAAGAAAAATCTTTTTACCCCAGAACAATTACTTAAACCATTCCGTCACGTCGGCTACTCAAAAAGTGTACATACATTCAATATTTGTGATTTGTCAATTGTTACATTTCGCCCGCATGGCGCAGTGTTTAGAGCGTGTGCTCTAGAGTCGCGAAGGAGATAATCCTTAGGTCGCGGGTTCGAATCTCACTGTTGGACGTGGAGTCCAGTCCTTCGGATGAGACCGTATAAACCGAGGTCCCGTGTCGCAGTAGGTGCTGGCACGAAAAAGATCCCTTTCTGCTCAATGGCGCTTCATGCCACGTATAGGTTAAAATTTGCAACTATCCACCGGCAAATGGCGGCGTTTCCATATGAGTGAAAAGATTCTCGAGAAGGACGTTAAACAATATACAATCAATCAATCATTTACAGAGTTAATGAATATTGAAATTTCGATTCCGTTGTCTTTGACAATCTTTACCCCATCTTCCTTTACATATTGTGCAATAGTTTAGGATCATTTTAAGCCGTTTGTTCTTCAGTCTTGTTATTTGAAATTGTCCCGATATTGGAAATAACATTTTTTCGCTTCCTTCCACAAAGCAGTATTTCTTTGAAGTTTTTGAGAAATCTGGCACTGTTGTAAGCATACAGAAATGGGTTTAGCGATGCTTTTGACCACAACAGCCAATTTAGGGCTTCATACAGATGTTCGTTTACACAGCTTTCGCAGAGGGAAATGATTATGGTTGCAATAGTATACGGCGCCCATGTTAGTCCAAAAACAATTACCAACATTGCCAGAAAACGGGCTGCTTTTACGTCCTTCCGGTTCCTTGATTTTTCTTTGTCGTTAGTTGACGGATTAGCGTTTGAAGCTGGAGCTACCACTTGCCTCCTTGATCTAATTTTAATGTATATTAGAAGGTTGAGGACACCTATCACTATGAAAGGTATGACAAATTCCACTGTGGCTGTAGAGGTTGTAAAAGTGAGATCGTAGGCAAACTGGACGTCACAATCTCCCGGTTCCACGGTGTCTTCCCCTGTCCAGAGGTCCCAGCCAATTATTGCTGGAGTGTAAAGGGAAACAGCGAGCACCCAGGATAACGAAATCTTGACGATCGCTACTTTGTACGTTTCCCGCTGATCGTAGTGTGGTCCGTGCTTGAGGAGTAAGAGACGATCTAGACTTATGATTATAACTGCTAGAACGGATTCAAGACAAAGAGCAAAGTCTATCACCATATAGGTCTTACAGAAATGATAGTCAAAGGGCCAGACGTAGCTTTTTAATGTATACACTGCGTAAAATGGCATACTTATCAGACCAAGCATAAGATCTGTAACTGCCAGGTTTACAAGATACATGTTGTATACATTTCTGAGGCCCTTGTCTCGAAGGAAAGCAGCAATGGTCATAGCGTTACCAAATATTGCGAAGAAGATAAGGACCACGATGATGATTCCAAAAGGTATGGTTACTCCCAGGGAGAAGACCTCCTCCTCCTCCTCTTCCTCGTCAAATGTCAGGTTACTGATGTTCATGATTAGCTATAGAAGCAAAAAAATTATTATTAAAAACCAGTTTAACAAGAAAATTATCATTAAAGACCGGTTTAACATGAAAATGATCATTAAAGACCAGTTTATTGATGATATTCCCCGTAGATTGATGTATATAGGTTTTAAAAGAAAAAGCAATCTCCCTAAAGCTCGGGGTTATGTTTTTCATTGGCAGATTACTATGGATGAAGTTTCAGTACTTAGGCTGATTAACTTGAAACTAATTAACATTTTAATCCCTTTGCGTGATGCCACCTCCTGAAATGTAAGATCGAAGACAATAGACAAAATGAAAAGATTAAAGACTGGTTTATAATTTCTTACTTGAATTATTTAAGGAATGAATTAAAAAGCTACCCACGTTATACCGTATAACCTACGTATGGGCAACGTTTCAAAGCAGTTTATACGTAAACTGCTCAAACCCAGGTTATACTAGTATAATTTGAGTAGCTATTAAATTCATTCCTTATAATTTAATTTTTCATTATGAAGTATCATTAAAGTATCATTGAGTCAAATGCTAACTGACGTTTTTCAAACTTATTCCTAGTCCATTATTTGCACACTGAATTCACGACGGATTTTCCCGTTATTTTCCGATCATGGCGGGTGTGTTACAACGCACTTTGAAAAATTACGCACTTTGAAAAAATTTTTCAAAGTGCGTTAAAATTTGGGACCAAGCTAACGCACTTTGAAAAAAATAATTTTTTTTCAATGTGCGTTAATATCGACCATATTAACGCGATTGATCAATATTCCTTCAAATAATCGGTATGATAAAAAACAGATTCTGGTATATAATTTTTTCATTGAAATAAAGTCAAATTATGTATAGGGGGCTTTCAACTTAAACTGTCATACTTAGGTAAACACATAATTATATGAATGCTTTGAGTATAGCATAGACATCGAGACTGGGCGAAGGGCCAGGGGAGGGGCCCCCCACTTATTTTGAAAAGATATATACATCGTAAAACCATTGAAAATGCAACGTACCCTTTTTAGGTTATTGCTCCCCTCCCCCGTTTGTTACCGACACCTATGTAAAAGATTTGGAAGGGATCTTATATTTCGACAAGTAAATCAATTCATTTTTGAGGTTAGGCTTAGGCTTAGTTTTTTGAGAAACAAATAAGTAAAATAACAAATAAAATCTTTCCATGACTAAAATATGATTTTTTTTCAAAGTGCGTTAAGTGTCTCCAGATGGATTGATTTTTCAAAGTGCGTTTTTGAACGAATTTTTTCAGGCATGTGACCGGTGTGGCACCTGATCCTAGTTTTGGAGCATTTTGTACTTTTGATAGGTATATACGTTTCATATAAACTAATTTTTAGCCAAGCGGATTGATACAAAAGATTGTGACAAAGGCAACATAGGTTATACAATATAAACTAATTTTTAGCCAATCAAAAAAATTAGAATTATTTTAAAATATTACTCCAACTGCATGTAGTAACCAAGAGATTTTAACACCCTTCCAAAAAGTCTTTTTTTTTTTTAAACTGCACTAAATAATCTACTTACAATTTTTTTTAAATACGAAGAAATGGTATCTTTGAAATACCAAAAAAGAAAAAAAAATAAATTGCATGTCATCACCTCTTAAAATATTGGAGGTACTTACTAGGTTAAGCAAATAACTTAAGATCTCATTTGAATAGGCTTTTATTTGAGACAGTTAACTTAGAGTTCAAATCGATTTTGAAGCAATATAAGAATTAACTTCAAAAAAAGTAAAAAAAAAGTTTGTTCTGTAATAATTTTGATATATATTTTAAAGAACTTTATTCATCTTTAAAAAATCAGATATGAACACCCATTTGTTTTGTGTGCTTGTGTCGGTGTCTTCCACTCCCCCCCCCCCCCCCAAGCACAATACTCTAAGTCTTTTTGTATAATCTTTAATTCTTCAGTTTACACTCACTCTTTGTTTTTACTTTCCTCTTTTTTCATTAAGAAATATGTGGACAATTAAACCCTATCCATAATCAAGTACTCGAAACATTCTGTAATCAAAAGATAATGTACCAAAACTACTTTTTGCTGTCTCCTTTTCTATGACGAATTATATTTATTCTTCCACGATTCTGATACTTTTCAAACAAGATTGAATAAATACGATGCCCTTTGAAAAGTTTGAATGGCTCATATACGTTTTAATTATGAGGATTACTGCATTATCTAGGATATTTTTTAGGCGCATGACAGCGAACTACTTTGTGTGGAAGCTGGTTGTTACGATTACGCATCAATTAATACTGAATTCATCCTTCTGTATAAAATACACAGAAGAAATAAAGTATTCCATATAGCTTACCCAATACAAATTCAATTTTAATTTTTTTTCCCTAAAGCTTCATGTTAATTTCTATTCACGTAGATTTCGATTCATCATAAATTAAACTTTGTTTGGCAATGAAATAATACCGGTATTAACCAGAACTAAATGAATGCGTCTTGGTCTTGCTTTAAAATATGAAAATTAAAATATTTTAAGAATGTCAAAATTACCAGGAAGGATAGCAAAAATATTTTGATTATTTTTTTTATGTTTGATCAAGATAAGATTTTAAGGGGCTCATATTTGCGTTCATACAACCATGTTTCGAGTCTGTAGAAACACAGATTTTCGTTAGAATAAAATTTCGTTGATTTGCCATCTAAAAAGGCTTCGTAGACATAAAATTTCGTTGTTTTGAAATTAAACCAATGCAAAATATAGTCACATTAAAATTTTGCATGGGAATTATTTTCGTTGATAATTGATAATGACGAAATAATCGAAATTTAATCCCTCTGAATATTTCTGCTTCTATAGTATATTAAAGAAATAGAAATAAAAGACTTTTCTCTGTTCAAGAAAAAAAAATTGTGCATTTAATACGATAAAAAAATATCCAAATTTGACCCAAAATTAGTAGGAACCCAAAATAGTAATGGAACTATCTAAATCACTTACTTAGTGACCATTAACAGATCAGCAGGTAGAATTCCCATCTGTACCTCAGGAGAATCATTAGCCATCTAGTATGATAATGTATCACCATGGGTTTTAATAAGCTTCCTTATTAATCAATACTTAGCTAACATGCCTTAAATATAAATATTTTTAATTTAAGATATGCTAATACATCAATATATACCCATACATCCTGAAATCAACCAACCACTGCTAGAAAAATACTTTTTGAAATGAACTCATAGATCTGAATAAAAGTAAACCCTTACTGTAACAAAAAATGAGACGTTTAAGCTCTTCTTATGATAAGTAAGTCAAGGAATCTCACGTTCTTTATCATTATGTTTAGTTCCCTAAAAAACCTTACAATGAAACAGATGGAGATAACAGTATTCATGCTCAAAAGTCCATAAAACAAAATAAATTATGAGCAGAGCAAACATTGTCCTCCAAATAATCAGAGGTGGGATCAGGTGCCATGGAGGAGTGAGCATCCCCTGCCGACCGGTCACACCCGCCAGGTGTTCCCTGTCATAATCGAGAAATAACGGAAATTTAAGGTATAATTAATGGACTAACAATTAGTAAGAAAAACATCAGTCAGCATTTGACTCGATGATAAATTATATTTGCTGACAAGGTCATAGAACTTACGCAATGACGACTTTAAACGAGACTGCTGAAATTCTTGTTTCATCAACTTGTTTGTCAATAATTTACCTCGTTGTAGATATTGTTCATACGTAGAGCATGCTCTTGCGTATCTGGTCAACTGAGATATGTAAACTCCGTATGCAGGTGATGAGGGTACATGCTGCATAAGTAAGGGAATTTGACGATAGAAAAGTTAAAGTCATTACGTTTATCATAGAGCTTGGTTGTTAGATTACCATTAAGTCTTTTTCAAGTAAAATATCTAAAAATGAAACAGACGTGTCAGCCTCTGTAGTATTTTTTATCTCAGACTCACCAGGATATATCGTATCAACATAAGAACTGAAATTACCATTGTTAATTGACAGTATGACGTGGATATATCTAAATGTCGAGTTGAAGGCCTCAGCAAGTGTTTTCTTCTTCTTTTCACCCATAAGATTTTGCACAAATTCTGCTTCATATTGCTCCCAATTATTAGCAGACCTATTTTGGTATTCATATGAAGCACAATTGCTCCCCGTTATTAGCAGACGTATTTCTATATTCATATCATGAAGCAGTATTTGTTCAAAATCTGTTACTTGAAAAGAAGAAAACACTTTCTTTGACCTTCAACTCGATATTTAGATATACAGCTCAACGCACTTTTTAAGCTCACATGGTTTTTCGCACAAATTAAGGTCACATTTTTGTTATAAAAATTACCATTTTCTAACTTCAATACGATGAAACAGCCCTACGTTATATTACATATATAATGTCAAGGACATAAGTCCTTTAGAATCATTATCTTAAGTTTCTAAAGTGGATGTATTAAAGGGGAATTAATCAATAAATGGTACGATGTTTCTACTATAGGATTCTACCATAGGTTTTTACAAATTAAATAAAACGAGCTTTTATTGATATAACGTAGTTGAAAATTTTTAATTTTCTTCTTAAAGGTGAGTATTTTTCAAAATTCTTTGCTCATTTACCATACTTCTCTTGGTTTTGTCGAAATGTAGCGCCGAAAAATGATAACATTGCAGAAAGAAAGCACACTTAAGGGTAGGGTATTAAAGTATTGTTTAATTTTTTAAATAGTACATTATTTCTATGAAAAGGAAAATTCTATTGCATTTACGGTTTGAAACGTTAAAATTTTGCATTCTAGATTTTAGAAGGTAACTCTGAAAAATGCCACCTTATAAACACACAAGCAGTCAAACAGATGAATATACCATTATCATCCCGAGCTAAAGAGTCAGAATATACAGAAAATACAAGTAACACAAGTTGTACTGTGCCCTTATCTACGTTTCTGCAAAGAGATAATGCTTTCTAAAGAACGGAGAAAAAGACAGCTACGATTGG